GCATACAAACATCCTACACACACACCCATACACGTGCATGCATCTCATATGTGTGAGCATGCACCGCATACCCTCATCGCTGAGGTGGGGGCACTTTGTAGCGATATCCAGCCACGGCTGCAGTGGCGATGTGGGCAATTGCATAGCATCGCCAATGATGTTGACTGTCATGCGCGTGGGATGTGTCAGTCTCGCACGGAAAGCCTGGAATTCTGCATGGGTACCCAAGTGATTGTGACAAGTATCAGATGGTGCTTATATACAAGTATCAGATGGTGCGTGTATATTCAGGGGCGTGATAGGTGCGGATTGTGAGAAGTATCAGATGGTGCTTGTATATTCAGGGGTATGATGATGAATGCCAAAATATACACATATATACAGCACACACCTTGCATGACTGCCTGTTCCTCTCCCTTGTCTAATCGCTCGAGCATTTTAGTCAAGAACTTCTGCTGCCGAATCAGATTGGTGGCGTACACATTGGAGTCCGGGTTGGGTATATACAGATCTCTCATCAGTGCCAGTGTCATCTGTACGTGTCGCAATTGGGTGTGTATACGTGTAAGCATATGATATAGTTTGAATAGTGTAAGTATCCATGCTACTGCTGCAATCAATTTCTACAGGCGCACAATCATATGGCTTGTAGCTTTAATTTCATGCGCCTACTAATATTAACTTTGCACTGTACTAACTATATATATATATATATAAACGCGCATAAGTATTGGAAGAAACACATATGCTCGTTTAAACACATACCGACACTTCGGACCGCTTAGCGGAAGGGATGTCGCTGATGAGTCGGTTGATGGCTACTTTCAGCCGTTCTGTAGTGGGCACAGAATGCCACAGTATCTCTCCGATCCACTGAACGCCTTTCTTATACTGGGGGATCTATTTATAAATTAAATGAGCAGTTACGTCACATGCTACGTTAGTGCTGTACTATAAAACCAACGCTATAAGAACATATCCAGATCGTCAAAATAAGTACTTTTGAATATAAAACACAAATCAAATGAGATTCAAGATTTGGATTTTGGAAACTCTATTTCTGGAAGGATCAGAGAATGTGCTATCTGCCGAGCCACTAACTTGTGTGTGTACCCTATTGCGCCAATTGGGACTGTACTGATATAACTGCTCTGCCATTTGCGCCAAAAATGGCCAAAACTGTATATAAAGTCCAGAACATTCATACAT